AAAACATGAGCCATCTGTCTCTAGATCACTATGGGAAAGCCAATCGCAAGGATCCTCCTTTACCGGCATCGTGCCGTGCTATCAGAAGAGAGCTCGCCATGTGACAACACGTTACAGTGGAGAAAATTGATTACGTTGATTCTTTTCTTCATCGTAATGAAATTCTTGAGGAAGGGTAACTAAATATTGTCAGTAATTTCCTACCGGTGAGAATGCCTGATTTATATGCCTTGAACGCTGGGCAAGTGGCACATATACTCGCAGTGACCGGCCCAGTAGTGAGAGCTTCCATCATTTTCAACTCATCATGCCTGTCTATGGGCAAGAGTTGGTTGATGTCCCCCTTCTGCAAAGAAAACAGCAGCAGGATGCGAGTCAATCGCAAGATATCACTCCCATACCTTGAGACACTGTTTTTCAGGATTGGAAGTAATCGATGTCTTGCAAGCGCTCTCCTTAGCCTTGTATGGGTAGCTCGATTCTTTGACCATACCTTGAGCTTTCGCATAGTCATATGCGTAAAGAGACTGCCCACCCAGGCAGCCACTGAAAGCAGACTCTCTTTTCCGGCATTATAAGCATAGTTTACAAATTTCCAGAAGGTCTGCTGCAGTCGACGATCTGCTGGACAGAGAACTGCACCACCTTCGATATACCGGTCTTGAGCTTGAACCGACTTTCCATCACAGCTAACGAGATAAAGGATGAAGACATCAACGATAAGCGGGAGGATTACCGCAGGCTGCTACGGCATAGCAGCTGTCACATGACTTTTTTTGTTCTCGAACTGGGCCAAGTGCACCAGCGGCAGCCCAGTCGATAGAAGCTGGCAGATCACCCACCGTCTCGATACCCTCGCTGACTGAAGGAACTCGTAGCAGCCTCAAGGGATATACTGCAGGTCTCTACCTGTGGCATTGACATCAACATGTGAGCTCATATCATACGTCATCATTTCAGCAAATAGCTCCTCCGGCATGTCAGAGAATTCATTGATACCAACCTCATGTTTTATCTCACCTAGAATATAAATCATCTCGTCAAGTATTCACATGCCTAAGGCATGATGCCTTACTGCTCTTCCTCAATTGGTCAATCGTTTTCATATTCTGCTCGAAAGCCCTCTTGGCAATTTCATACTCTTTGGGAGAGTTGTAGACCTTGCTGTACCTTTTTGGAGTTGCATCGATGTGCATGCTACATCACTCCTCAGACGCGACTTACTGTATGATGAAATCTTCGAAAGTATCAGTATCAGCGGAAATCGCCAGAGCAATATAGGGCAGGTATCCAAGGACTACCCTCATGGCTTAAATGAGATGCTAACTGAAGAAAACGACTCTTGCTCTTACTCGAGTCGAAGGGCTCGACCCTACACGTGTGCTGCTCGACCAGCAGTACTCGTTCTGATTCAGAACTTCTGAACTTCTGAACCAGGAATCAGCGCATGCTACACGTCTCGTTGGCATGCACGCTGGTACATACCGTCAGAAACAACGTGTTTGCTCGTGTTCAATCCATTCCGTGACAAACTTGGAGGAGCACAGGTTATGACATGCTAACAATACTTGTTGCCGGTCCAGGTAGTAGCCTGACAAGAGACTTACTCCGCTTCGCCTAAGTTTAGGCACGAGCCGGCCCGCAACCCTTGTTGTTGTCACATCTTCACTCCTATAGGTCATGCGCAGACGTGGCATCAAATTCATGATTCCGCACAAACTTGTGCGGAATGAAATAGACGGTCAGCATTGTCTCTATCTCATGGAAAATGCATGCCGAAGGCTAGTTGTCTGTGTGTTAATCCATCAATCCACATCAGGGAGAGCGTATGTATTCGCAATGTCAATTTGCAGTTACTCGTTTATGAATGCTTCGCGACACATCAAGTCTCATCACGGACATCATTGCTGTGCGCCAGTGTACTTTCACTCTATCCTTCGCCGGGGACGAAATGGCCCAGGAAATAATGAGTTTCCTCGGCAGACGTCGACCAGTTGGTCTCTCTGCTGTCGCGACCGGTAGATGTGTCCAGTGCCGTGCGGGAAGCTGGTGGCGTGACAATGTTCGAGCGTCGAGGCGCTTTACTTTGGATACTGTGAATAAGCGTTGCTACAGACTTGGTGATCATCATGAGATCCTAGAGAAGGAACAACACTGCGACTGGGTTGTGCTCGACGGTACTCTGTCGGATCCATCAGTTTCGTTATGGAGCGAAATCACCTATCATAAGGGCAAGTTGTACATTCGCGACATTCGATATGCTGACTATCAACTCTATCCGAGAGACCTCTCGTTGTGGGAGGTCGATCCTGAGACATGTGAGAGGGGATTGGAGATCGAGACCGACTCCGAAGTAACATGTTTTGACGTCTTCTCTCGAGAAGGAAGCCTTCAGGTGGCTTACATATCACCAATTCACCCTGCCGAACTACGAGTTGATTATCATCCACTCAAAAGAGGAGATTCGAGTAAAGCAAAACTCATAAAGGATTATATTGCGCGTTGTTTCCACGTCCCGATGTTCACTGAGGCTGTGCGCTTCCTCCGCGAGGATCTAATTGGTGTAGGACATTCTGATGGATGCCAGTTGGGTGTTACCCTAGTCGATGTTGCTCTTGATGGCCCTGGTGAGATGCTCAGTACAGTGAATTTTGACTGCAAGCCGGGTGACTTCATCACGAACATCGAGGTTAGCCCTTGTGGTCACGTTGTGTACATTGGCGTCGGATCACCCACCGGTGGCCTAGCGTCAGACCGAGAAGTTGGCGTGGTATATTAGCGATGTGTGTTTGATAGCACCATTCAGTCCTCTATGCATGCTTATTACCATCATCACAGTGCAGGTATATCCTGAAATGGTGCTGCATGGGTTTGTCATGAACAGTCACAATCAGAATTGCGTTAGTCGAAAAGATTCACATTCAGGAGGGCGTCTAATGCACTTGGCTCCTTTCCCTGCACACGACAGCTTCTGACAATAAATCGCAAAGTACTGCTGAGATAGCCCGTTCAATGATTCTACGTGCGTCGACCTTCGATACCATGAGATTCCCTATAGCTGATGAGAATTGTGCAGACAAAACTCGGCAGCATGCTGATCTCAGATCACATGGATACCGCACGTTCTGTTTATGACAAGACTTGCTCTTCGTAGGCTCGAGGTTCGCGTCAGAGGGTTTCGAGCTGTCAACGTGACCTGGTGCGTCCACCATCGATTCAAGCATTCTGCGCAGTGCGCACTACAGACAACTCAATGAAGACAAAATCGAGGAAACAGTGGGACGAAACAGCGCAGTAACGCATCTTCCCATCTATATGAGTAACGAGTTAGCGAGTAGTGTTTGACTGGTGTAGGAAACCGGTAAACTCAGAAGAAAAATTAGACACTATAGATGTCTTAACAGGTGGCGAATACAATCATATCGCGGTTGGCACCCTCATGATTACTGTTGTTCTGAGCGTCATCAGCATCATAACGGATATATTTCTCCCCATACCTCCCAGTTCTATTAGAATGAAGCCGTCGTGTGCGTTGTTGATGCCGCTCATCACAGAATCTGAGGCATCAACCTTGAAAGCCGTCATCGCCGATCACACTACCTATAACAGCCCTGGAGGGTCACTGCCAGGCCCAAAACAACATACTTGTTGCTACTTTGACTCAGTTTGGAAAGAAAACGATGCTATCATTGGAAAGGTGCGAATTTGTTGGTATCTAGAGTTCACAGCGTGAGAGGTTATTCATCGACGAGCATCATACCGCTGGTAGGCGGAGGAGGCAGGAACGGGGATGCTATACGTGACCCTCCCGCACCCCTTGAACCACACATCATCAGCCTTGGTAGACTGTACAGTCCTAGGCCTTGGGCGTAGGATACGCGAATCCATAGTACTCAATTGTTCGGTTCGCAGAGTCCAATCCCGAATGCAAGAGATGTAAGGAATACAGCGTGTGCCAATACTGCCAGTGCATCGCAGGTAAGCAGATTTGTACGGTACAAATTGTACCATATGTAGATCGATCTCAATGGGACATGGGATACAGACAGAAAGCATTCATGTGTCCCTCAGATAGCGGACAAATTGAAGATATATGCTGTTCACTGAATCCTTGGACAACCGGTGGTATCGACAACTCCAGCGGGGTGGACTGGCCTTACTGCACGGAACAGAAGCTTGTGAGCCGCTGTTTAGCGTTCTAGCGCTCATTTCAACATATGCAAAGATGTACCGTAGGTGTACTCTCCTGATGCTAACACAATGAGCATGTGCTCTTTCAACTACAAGTTGTACCCATTCGGAGGAAGCAACCGTGGTAGACCGGGTAGCATTATACTCATTATGCTGTTTGCCACCATGACTGTTTTCACTGAGTTGTGAGCCTCAGGGGTGATCTGCGTTGTAATACAAACACAGTGCCTCGCAAGTACGAGTCAC